ATATCCAAATCATATGCTGCTCTGGGATTTGTGCGCCGAAATAGCTCAAACGGTTTTTCTTGGCAGAAATAAACTCGGTGGTTTGCTATTGCCTGCCGAGGGGCGCCCGGCTAAAACTAATTAATAAAATATCTACAAAATTAACAATAAAATATTTTCTTCGCAAAATCTATGAAGGGCTCTTCTATTAAACAAAAAAAAAAACTAGCAGTTACTCGTCGCACCGCTGTATTGTATATATATAGAAGGGATATGCTCCTTCCAAATTCTTGATAGCATTGGTTGCATACGTACATAATTGACTTAAAAAAATCTCTCACTGCCAAAGACATAACGGAAATATTGAAGATCCATGTATGCCTAAACCATCTTGAGCAATCTCTAGAGTTTTTGGGGCGAGAGGAAAGCTTTGGAATTCGGTCTGAACAAGCTGGGGAGTCAATCCATCGTCATTTCGTGAGGTTTTGGAATAGAGGAAAGTGAAAAACCATCATGGATCCCATATATGCTGTGAAACTAAAGGAAGCAGTCATAGACTTTTCTTTTAAGCACATTAAAACCACGAGGCAAGTGATTAACTTTGGCTATGCCATAGCTTGTATACACTTCAAACATCACAATAGTCAATTTGTATGTAAAGTTTCCTTACTTGAGTAAATATTTCTGATAATATTTTTTGAGAATCTTGTCACTATTTCTGGAATTTGATTTCCTGACAGGTACAGTAGTATTTGCAATTACACATATCGTCATTTAAAGTACAAAACCGCGTATCAAAAAAATGCAAAACCGCGTATCAAGATAATGCAAAACCGCGTATGTGAGGTTGCATAAATTATTTTCTATTTCAAAATGGTTCTCTTTTTTATAAAGCAATCACATTTCTGGCTAGTATATTTCACTACGAATGAATGAGGATTGAGCCAAGAGCTTGTGTGAGCAAATCCAATTTTTGGCAGCAAATGTCAGTTACGCGGTTTTCCAGAATGACCATACGCGGTTTTGTACTTTAAACGACGATATGTACATACACTGGAAATCAAAAGTGAGTGCATGGTGTTTTTGTTTAATATTTGCAATCTTTTTCTAGTTAAATTTTTTTTGTGGTTATTTTTTTATAAAAATATGGTTCGTGCTTTAATTTAAACCGTATAAGTCTAATTTTCAAACTTTATACAGAACTTAGAAAATTCAACGGATTTCACGTTTGACCTTTTTAATCTGAATTTTTAGAAAAATGTTAAGTACGTAGATAGATCGGTTTTTTAATTCTAGTAAAACAAGTGCAAGTTTTAAGTGGCAAAAAAAGCGCGTTGATTTTTTATTTATTTTATTGTATTATTAAGAAAATTAACGCTATATTTTACAAATTGCACTTGTTATATGCATTAAAACGCAAAATCCGTAGGAAAAAATATTCATTAAAAATGAACGCGTTTTTCAGCCGCTTAAAACTTGTTTTACTAGAATTAAACCGATCTATCTGCTTACTCAAAATTTTTCTAAAAATTCAGATTAAAAGGGTCAAAATTTAGACGAAAATTCGTTGAATTTCTGTATAAAGTTTGACTTATGTGGTTCTAATTAAAGCACGAACTATATTTTTATAAAAAAAAAAATTAAAAAATTTTACTTGAAAAACATTTCAAATATTAAACAAAGCACACCGGGCACTCACTTTTGATTGCCAGTGTATATACATATATAGTGTGTGTGAATGTGCGTACGCATAAATATACTTTGGCCAGTGACGGTAGCCATTTTTATGCATTTAAATTTTTAACACTCGAGTTTTTTTTATTAAAATCCTGAATAAGACCTAACGGGGTGGTTTTCTCCTATATGGACACCTACGATTTCAGGGTAAAGATTTCTTGTTCCAGTGGATGTTAAATAATCACCGGGCACCTATGAATTTTTTTGGCATTATGGAAAAACTTTTCTTTGCCAGACAACTGTGAATGACGTGCAGTATTCTGCGAACATTTAAATGTTGAAACACCAGTCTCGTTTCTATGGTGGCCATATCCTGATCGATCACATTGTTCATCACTAAAATATTCTAAAACTTCTAGAAAGGTATAAATGAGCTAATGTAGAAAATGTATTTTCAAAGACATTTTGTCTCCGATTTGGGCTTGGTTTCTCAGTATTTTTCCTACAAGGGTTTTAGCAGTTTTAGCCAGATTTTTTTCTAGGAAACCATTGATGACATCAATGAAAGAGTTGAATCCACTTAACTTCTGACACCCAAATTCATAAAAAATAAAGAAGACTTTAACTTCTTTACAAATTAAACATTTTTATGGAAATGTCACTTTATAGAGCTCTTTATCTATTTTATTTTTTATGAATAATTTGAAGTCTTCAGTTGCCATAGTTTCTGAATGAACGTATGGTATATTCGAAATCAGCGTCCTAAATATACCCCAGAAATATGGATGCCGTCCTTGCCTTTTCCTGGAAATTATGTTTTGTAAACCTATGTTATTACAGGGTATTTAGGACAGGTTAAGTGTTACCAATAAAAATGCCATATTTTCTTTATTTATGAATAAGTTTTGCTGGACTAAACAAAAAGGATTATGAGCAGGGTCAGAGGTTTTTTATTATAGATTGGTATTCACCGTGATCGTGAGCGAAAAAAAAGCAAAAAATTGTTAACGATAGACAACGATCGTCAAACGCCTTCTCGAAAAAAAGGGGAAATTAAGGGCCTTGAGGTTGATGCTCTTCCCATTATCGTCGAGGCGCTGGCATGCATGTGTATTGTGTTTCCAAAAATTTAAGTAATACGCAATCGCTTTATTTGTTTATCTTTTTAGATAAAAATGAACTTTTATCTGCAAAGAATTTCTTGGAACAAGCGGCCGAAGAAAACTTACCTGAGTTCTTAAAAGCTCTTTCGGATATATTGGTCTCTGTGAACAACAGTCCAGTAGCACGTATGGCTGCAGGATTACAACTTAAAAATCATTTGACCAGTAAAGATGAGACTGTCAATCAACAGTATCAGCAACGATGGCATCAATTTTCAGAAGATACTCGCGAGTACATAAAAAGAAATGTATATGTAAATTTTTTAAATACCAATATCATTATTCAAGCTAATTTTATTTTTAGATCCTCGCTGCTTTGGGAACAGAAAATACTCGGCCTTCCTGCGCTGCACAGTGTGTTGCTTATGTAGCCGTCACAGAATTGCCTCTAAAAGGATGGCCTGTTCTTATTCAAACATTAGTCAACAAGGTTGTGACTGATAATTCCAGCGAAATTGATCGTGAAGCAGCACTGGAAGCTATTGGATACATTTGTCAGGACATACGTTATGGCGTGTTGGAACACCAGTCGAATCAAATTTTGACAGCTATCATCCATGGAATGAGAAAGCTGGAGCCGAGCAATCATGTCCGACTAGCAGCAACAACTGCTTTGCACAATTCCTTAGAATTCACAAAAGCTAATTTTGAAAAAGATCTGGAAAGAAATTTCATAATGGAAGTAGTATGCGAAGCAACTCAATCTCAAGACACACAGGTTTGTGTAGCCGCCCTACAGTGCTTGGTTAAAATTTTAACCCTTTACTATCAATATATGGAACCTTATATGGCCCAAGCTTTATTCCCTATTACTTTGGAAGCTATGAAGTCAGAAAACGATCAAATAGCTTTACAGGGAATTGAGTTTTGGTCAAATGTATGCGATGAGGAAATCGATTTAGCAATTGAAACTCAAGAGGCAAATGACGCCGGTCGAGCTCCTATTCGAGTATCAAAACATTACGCCAGAGGCGCTCTTCAATATCTAACTCCTGTGTTAGTAGAAAAGCTCACAAAACAGGATGAATGTGACGACGAAGATAACTGGAGCCCACCGAAAGCAGCATCTGTTTGCCTGATGCTATTAGCAACATGCTGCGAAGATGAGATTGTTCCATATGTTTTCCCGTTCATCAAGGATAACATAGAGTCGCCAAACTGGCGTTTTCGCGATGCTGCTGTTATGACCTTTGGATCTATTTTAAGTGGCCTAGAAACCAATACTCTAAAACCTTTAATAGAGCAAGCAATGCCTACACTGATACATTTAATGTATGACGAAAGTGTAATCGTTCGGGATACGACAGCATGGACCTTTGGCCGGATATGTGATGTAAGTTATTTCTAATTTTTTAATTAGTTCCTAGAAGCTTAGGCTCTGTGTTGGTTACGGTGAACTTTAGTACCCACATTGAAGTCAAATTTGAAATATCTCAACACTACAGGTATTTCCGATTAATTGCACCGAGTCTACCTAGTATTATGAAAACATAAAGGCATAATTTAATAAAATTGTCGTTGTTACTTTAAATTTTCATTGCATAACATGAAGGCATAAATATACCCCAGTAAAAGAATTATATGTGCAATACATCAACTTCAACTAGTTAAATGAAAAACCAATACTAGATCTTTGATGCTTTTCCCCAATAATTGTATTCATTTACTTTATCAAAAGAATATAAAAAACTTTCTGAATATGCATTAGTTTATAACAAGAGAATTTAATTGTACCATTATGTTGAAATTTTCATAGAAAATATTTATATGTGCAAAGAAACAAGTTTTAGGCTATCGATTATTTTAGAAAAGTTTAAAAGATAATTTTATTTGTTGCTTTTGGATTGTATTTCTATTGCACAATTTTATTTGTTTTCCGCTTTGCGACATAGATTTTACCGAAATTTTGTAGTAAAATTTGTATTATCTCCTCCTATTTATGAAGTTTGGTTTATTTAAGTTTCAACGCGTTATCATTCTGTCTCAAATAATAATAATAAGTAAAAATCTTGTTGAGAAGTTGTTACAAATTACACTGGTATTAAAGCCCACATTTGAGGCTAGATATTCTAAAAGAAGGTATTTTATTCCCTCAATAACGATTTTGTTGTTCGCACGGTATGAACAACAACGTTTTGCCGCTGGAATTTTCAAATATCTTCAGTCGAAATGAGCGAAAAATGTGCCAACTTAATGCACAAAGAATGTTTCTACTCTAGATATTAATTTTTCTCAAAGTGAAAATATTTTATTTGTTTTCCAAAGCTATACGCTTTTTACTTTAAAGCAGAGATTCCTTTCGCCAAGGGCAGGTTTGCCATGGGAGCCGGATGACTCTCCAATAATGGTGGGCATCTGGATCAGTTATATTGAATTTTTTTTCATCAGTGAAAATTGCATTTTTCAATTCTTCCTACGAAATTTGTAATTTTTGTAAAATGCTAAAAGGCATTTCTTGCCATATGCTATTTATTTCTTCAACCTAAGTACCAAATCTGTGTTTATTATTTATTGGAAACTTTGCCTTGTGAGAGAGAGATTCACATACATTTCAATTTTTACGGTAAATCATGCTGTTCCTAGTAGCTAACCTTTTGATATGTCATTTGCACCACTCTTGGGGTTTGTATAGGGCCATCAAGATCATTATTTCCATAGTCGTCGGGATTTTTAAAGGAATAATATTCTGCTGTCTAATTACTTTAGCAGTTATTTAGCTACCTTTCATGCCACAAAAATGCATTCCTGTTATATTTACGGGCTCTTCTTCAGATAGTTCAATGCCACGGGATATTATGGGCCATAATATAATTAGGGAAAATAGTAAAACGGTTTCTATTATGAAACAGCTTCTATATGTTTAACCTTTTACCACACAGTCATTGGTGTAGTTTTCTGTTGAAAATTTTTGACACTGCAGCAGGCGGAAGCTGAATAGTTAATTTTGCATATATATGTAATTATTTACTATTGAGTATTAACTATTGTTTGTGATGACGGTAGTTAAAATTATAAAGGAACATCCACTAAACATATGAAAACACTTATAAGCTAAAGGCTTTTATAATCGCATACAGCAAAAAGTTTTACCCTTCTTCCATAGAGCGAAAATGAGGAAAAACATATTGCAAATATAATTCTTTTACTGGGTTACATATACATATGCACTATCGTACAATTTAAAGTGCACAGCTTGCTCTAATATAATATTCATACTTATTTTCATGAACAATTTTTTTGGATTAATTACACGGTTCTCAAAAACGTGACGTGTCGAAAAATTTAACGAAATGGCAAATTTCAAAAAGAAAAAAAAATACGTGTTAATGAAAAACAAATTCGCCTGATTGATTCCACCTCATGACGATGAGTTAAATAGAAAATAGCTTGCACTTTTTTTCCCTCAGATACGAAAATCTCAATCTATGAAATTATACGATCAAATTGTGTTGAACCGTGTAATTTAAGAAAATATTATTATAGAAATCAAAGTTTTACAATTTATTTCAAGTTTACAAATATTCAAAAAATGTTCATCAAAATTTTCAACTTTTTATTCAGAACTTCTGGAGGGTGTTGCGGGTTTTTTCCATATAAAAATAATTGTGTATTCGTTATATGGAAGCAAATGCAACAAAAAAAAAAATAAACCAAAAAAATCAACGGTAATCTTTAGCGACTTGAAACTTGCACTTTGTTTACTAAAATTGAATGGGCTACAAACCTACATACTCGAAAAGTTTCTAGAAATTGTGAATAATTTTCATGAAAATAAATGTGAATATTACAGGTATTAGAACAATCTGTGCGCTTTAAATTGTCCGATACGATAGTGTACCTTGTTTATACCGACTCATAAAACGTTTTGACCCAGTTCATTGTGATTCAGAACGGAAAAACAAACCAAATTTTAATAGCTCAGAAATCAAAAATGTATTGACTCGAATTTGTTTTCAAATCGCTTTTTTATTTCTCACATCGCACAGTGTTTCTACTATATGGAGGCTGGTGGAAAAAAGTCGTGGTTACAGGTGATTAAAAAACCTATTGGACTTAGAGAGAGAAAATAATAATAACTAGAGTGCCAGTTACTGTCGAAATTCGACAGTTTTTCCAGTTTTAGAAGCCTTGGAGAGGTTTACTAACTGAACACGTAGCAAAACTTATACGGTACAAATTAACTAACCGGAAAATCTTCTGCTGAAACGTAACTAAATTTTTTTTATCTGAGAAGGTCTTTGGAGGACTTCGGCAGGAATTGGAACTGACCCGATACATTCAAGTTTATCGATAAATTTCAATGATTTGATACATATCGATAGTTCGATGAATTTCAAGAACACTAAAATTCGATAACTCAACAAAATTCGTGAATTCGACCAATTTCGATAACTTTGAAATTCGATGGCTCGATAAATTTCGATAACTCAAAAATGTAAAAACTTTGGATACCTTTATAAATTTTTACTTTTGACATCTCTAGATTTTTCGAAAACAATCTAAACATTTTGATAACTCGTTACACTCTGTTAGGATGATTAAATTCGATAAGCAGTGATAAATCTATAAGCTTATATAACCTTGAAATTTCGATAAATCGATATATTTTGAAAATTCCATAAACTTCGCGTTGTTGAACCAACCAATTTCAGTAGATCAATAATTATCGATAACTCTGTAAGTTGAAAGAACTCCATGCATTACGACACCTCGATAAATTTCGTTAAGTCTATAAATAATGATAATTCAATAAATATCGATAACTTGATACATTTCTTTAACTTGACAAATTTCGTTAATCCCACACGTTTTTATAGCTCGATAACTATCCGTAAATTTGGACAACTAACTTTCTGTGTCTATAAATTTCGACAACTCAGTAAACATTGATCAGTTTGAATAATTCGATACGTTGCGATAACTTAATAAGCATGGATAAATTTCGATAATTATAAACTTCGATGATTCGATAAATTTCAGTAACCTTTATGGCTGATTTTATTTCGATTCCTATCTTTTAACCTAATTCTTATGTATTTCTCATTGTCTCCATTTTCACCTTTATCTCAATTTTCGTCTTTATCTTCACTTTTGCCTCTTTTTGACTTCATCGTTCTCACTTGTTTCTTCATCTTCATATTTATCTTTATTTCAAAGTTTAATTTTAAATACGAAGTAAAACAAAATGCGAAACAGCTTAAATTGAACAGGTTGCGAAAACAACCATACACAAATATGGAAATTTTTAAACGACGATTTTCAACCAATTTCGAAACTATAAAAACTCCTCATCTACAGAAAATTACCTTTCCAACGGTGTTTTTGGTTTTGAAATCGGTAACTTTACCTTGGTCTTCATCTTTGTTTTTATCTTTCACATCTTTGCTTATATCCTTTTCTTTTTCTATTCACGTAGATGAGGTGAGGTGCGATGAGTGATAAGATGTGACGTGATTTTATGTGATGTGATAGGATGTCATGTCATGTGTTGTCATACCCTCAGATGTCATGTCATATGATGTCATATCATGTGATGCCACGTCAGGTAATGCCATGTCATATCATACGATGACATATCATGTGATGTCAAGTCATGTGATGTCATGCCATATAATGTGATGTCATATCATATGATGTCATGTCACGTGGTATCGTGTGATGGGATATCATGTGATGTCTCTTCATATCATGTGATGTCTCTTCATATCATGTGATGTCTCTTCATATCATGTGATGTCTCTTCATATCATGTGATGTGATGTCATTTAATGTGATCACATTCCATGTTCCGATTATTATATGGATAACCCTGTTGATAACTGTGCCGATAAAAATACCGATAACAATATCCATAAACATATAGAAAAATACAACGATTGCAAAATCGATTAATTCATCGATAAATATAACAATCATCAGTATCGATTATTGCACATATCGATAACAATATAAATCAATTATTTAATCGATTATTATACCGATAACAATATCCATTATTGTATCGATAATAATATAGATTATTATATTGATTATTATATCGATTACAATAGCTGTTATTTAATCAATAACAGTATCGATAACAACATCGATTATATTATCGATAGCAATGTCGATTATTATATCGATAAAAATATCGGGTTTTATATCGATAACAATATCGATCTTCATCCTCATCCTTTTCTTCATATTTAACTTTATTTTTGCATATTCCTCTACACCTTTACCTTAAAGGGTTTAAATTTGCTTTGATCTTCGTTTTTGCCTGTACCTCTAGGCATCTTTGTTTTTGTTTTTATTCTCAAACTGCTAAACCGCTGAGAACCATTTCGATGTGCATTATTCCCCTTGAATTTTACAATTTACTCCCAACCAACCAACTGCCGCTAAAGAAGTTTACTTCATGAATTCAAGAAATGTTCTTACCCTTTCAGTTACCCTAATTCTTATGTATCTGTCATTGTCTCCATTTTCGTCTTTATCTTCACTTTTGTCCTTTCTTTTGACTTCATCGTTCTCATTTATTTCTTCCTCCTCATATTTATCTTTATTTCAAAGCTTAATTTCAAATGTGTAGTGAAACAACAGGCGAAACATGTCAAATTGAACATGTTGCAGCAACATCTATACACAATTCGAAAATGTTTAAACAACGGTTTTGGGCGTAATTTTCAACCAATTGTGAAACCATAAAAACTCTGCTCATCTACGGAAAAATCGGTTCGGTAGAATCGCCAAACGAACGGAGACAAAATTTATGTTAGCGTATTAATATATAGATAATAGATTGGCGCTTACACATATGTTAGTGTTTGGCCGAGCTTCTCCCCCGATTTGTGGCGTGCGCCTTAATGTTGTCACACAAAGCGGAGGGACCTACAGTTTCACGCCGACTCCGAACGGCGATTGTATTTTTATGAGAAGCTGTTTTTCACGGCAGAAATGCACTCGGAGGTTTGCCATTGCCTGCCGAGGGACGACCGCTGTAAAGAAAAAACCTTTTTTCTATATTTTTTTGCGATGTTGCTTTGACCAGGGCTTGAACCCAGGTGCTGCGGAGAGAGAGAAAAGTAAAAGTCATAAATACAAAATATCACATAATTTACTCACCCCTCCCTACGAACGGTACATTTTCACGCACGATACCGACTAATCAGTTTATTTGCATTTTGCGCTGAACCCTTAACATCAAGTGTTTCTTTTTCCTCTGTAATCAATTCTTTTGTTTCTACTTTGGTGAGTAGCTGAAATCGCGCAGGGTGCGCCGGAGGAGTTCCAATTATTTTAATTAAAAGAACAGATAAAATGTTGTTTGAATTCAACTGCCAATTCACAAGCTTATTGCGTTCGATCGAGTTAGTACAAAGTTCACTTAAGAGCTACTTAATTTGCCCGAGTGGCGGTATAAAACATTTGGTGATGCGGTTGCGACGGCGGTTAAAAAGTGAGTGACCCCCGCTTCATCGGCGAGGACGAGTCACACCGTACCCTCGCTTATAATATATTCGACTGCTACAATGCAATTTCGAAAATACAAAGTAAGATGAGGTGGCACAATATTTAGTTAGGGTCTAGTACAATAATACATATTAGAAATAAATGAAATGAATTTACAATACCAAATTAATATATATGAAAGGCGCCTGTCACACCAACAATACGGATCGCGATATTTGGATCGCGATTCTGGATCTTGATATTTATTGAAGGTGTAGCATCAAATATTGATGGATCGTGATACGGATCCCAAAATATCTAGAAGTTCTGAAATCCGGATCACGCATCGCGGATCGCGCAGTAAATATTGAAGGTGTAGCATATTCAAAACGCGATCCATACATTTAGCCAGTACATTTTGTACTCTCATAATGCGAACATCGAAAACGTATTCGCTCTCGGCTCTTAAAACCTTTCAAAACAAATTGAAAGCATTTAAATTAACATAAGAAATTATCTTTAAATTATTGGTACAAAATATAAATATTTTCTTGCGGCATAATAAGCGTGCAGCACAAAAATTATGCAAATACTGACGCGATAAATATTGAACGTTTAGCACACACTCACGATCCATCAATATTTTTAGATCCATCAATATGGATCAGCATCCAAATATCGCGATCCGTATTGATCGTGAACCGGCGCCAAAAGGTATCAGGAGGCGATGTATGTATAGTCCATGTCTTCAACATCTATAAATGCCGAGGAATATTTAGGTGGAGGTATTTCTCATTTATTTGGTATTTTCCTGTTCATAAAATTTACTTGAAAATGTAGATGCTGTTGTTGTTGTTGTTGTAGCGGCTACAACAACCCCGCCCAGGACGGTTG